TTAATCTTTAATCTTAAACATTATAAGATCTATTTCTAATATCGTTGTCCTACAATTTAAAATGAAAACTACTGGAAAAAAAGCACATAACCCTCTTCTTCTCCTTGCTTCATCCAAAAATGGAGTTACATTTTAAATCCCATTTAATAGGGAATGAAAAAAATAATGGCGAATGAACTGTTTATATTATTACAATAATGAGAAATGGGCTTAAAGAATGGAATGTAGAATTTTAAATTAGTATTTTCCCTCTAATGATCAAACCACTGTTGAATACATAATCCATTCATGCTGTCAGATCCATTATCTGCAATTATTTTTTATTCAAGTGTAAACCTAGCATTAGACACAAAGCAACAGAAGATATTATGAGAAGATAAATAATATTTTTAAATCTTAAATAAATAGCACAAGGACCTGATCTTTGGGTACTTGATTATGACTTTAAAATAAGGTGTGGGTACTAAAAAGAACTTGGATTTTGAAATCAGTCAGATGTCAGCACATAACACATACTATAGAAACTTTGGTGTATTATTCAGTCTGAGATCATGTTATAGATAGAAATATTAGAAATAACACACAAGATATCTGATTTAAGATAAATAGACTCAAGCATTTATCTTTTCACAACCTCATATTCCATTAAAATGATACAGCAGAAAAATAAATTTCTAGTGATGTTGAAATCTTGGATTTTGTAACCAATTAATGAGAGTAGTCAACTTTCTGGAAAATAGTAAGCAGATGACAAGACCTGAAAACCTAAAAGAAATGATAGCTCTTTATCATATTTTAAATTTTAATGACTTGTTCTAGTCAAGTAAATGAAAGTACAAAGTAAAGAAATCATAGCACCTTTTGAGCTTCATAATACTCGGGAGGTGTGAAAATATGGTAAATAGTCTTAGACTCTCACTAACCCTCTCCAAAGCATGAATGTTTTACTTATGATCTGAAAATGAAATAACTGGACTCATATCAGGAGACATATGTCAGGAGTATAATCCATATCTGCTTATTTCAAGTGAATTAAAATTTTGACTAACCATGCTGTGAAATTTTGCTAAAGCCTGTACGAGAAAAACCATTTTTCTTGTCATGAATCAAGAAGCAAAAAAACCCTAGCAAGGTTAAACACGTAAAGAGTTTGTTTTATGTGTCACCTCTGAGCCACCACTGACCACCACTTTATCCATGGCACCCCACCAATTCACACCCCAATTGTACACTTGGAAGACAAAGATCTCCAGAAATTAGAAGGGCTGCTTGTCCTTTAGCAATGTAGATACACCAGTTAGCACATCTCCTCTAACAGAAAATATAGAAATTTAAAAAGAAATGAAGAAATAAATTTCTGTAGATTCAATTCTGGACAATGAAAAGCAAAACTGATTTCAAGGTCATGAATAATATGGAACTGCCAGCCACTTGCGATAATCAATATTTTCAGAGAAAGCATGTAATAAAATAAGAACATGGCAATACTGCTAGAACTCAGCATGTGTTGATTTCCTTCATTCAATTACTAATGGTAACATGAAAAAAGAAAGTTCAGACATAGTTTCTCTAATAATTTTGAATTCTAAGAGGTTATCAGGTAAAACATCTTGAACATAAAAACTAATAGATTATGTAATTATAATAATAAAGACATCATGGAATTAGTGACCTGACTAATGTTACTTATTAGTACTTCCTTCCTTGCCCATGCCTTAAAGAGAAAAAACTATTCCTTTTTTTCCTATAATTAGTGTCATGTGCTTAAGGATAGTAAAAGCATGGCAAATGCTTTTTTATAGAGGGCATCACCTACAAATTGATGTTAGCATTAAGATGTCTACATAATAAGAAAACATCTATGTCATAGAAAAGTCCCTGTTGTTGAATTTCCATATTCCTCAGTTTTCAAATACTTATAGCAATTTATTATACTTCAAATTTATGTTCATTACATGAGCAAATTCATATTGCTATTTTCTTTCAACACAGTGTTTTAATTTCAGAGATATTTGGGTAAGGCATAAAAAAGTATAGTGCAAACAGATGGAAACTGCTAAAAGCAATTCAATAAATAATAATCAAAGCAGGGCAATCAAAAAGGCAACTCATGAAAAATACCAAATTTAGAATATTTAAGGTGAGTCAACTAAGTGTTCTAATTTTTTTCTTGAAATGTTATTTAACATGCCCAACTCTCCTTATTGGACTGTAAGTTTAGGTCATGAATAGAAAAGGGACAAAATCCACCCTCCAAATTGGTCACCCCTCTGTTCTCTGTCTTTGGCTTCTCCAATGTCCTGTTTGTCTTGTCCCTTGTTGTATCCAATAATACCAGGCACTTGCTAGGTCCTAGCATATTCTGGGTACTTACTAAACATGTACATGCATGACTGAATAGACAAATGAACGAATTAATAAGTTAACTGGGAAATGAATTAGTCTAGTCAGGGAAGGGGACTGATGAGATAAAACTTTCTTTAACTAAAAGCCAAATCTTGACTAAGTAGCAGGATATTGGGAAAAGAGGCAGGCTATCACCAGAAACAAAGGCCTTAATAATGGAGAGAATAAAAATGGAAGGGGAATGAGGTAGTAGAGGAGACAGTGCTGAAAAACTTGAGCCTTACTGGAGGATAAACTGGCAGATGGTGGAAAGTCTGGGTTTGGACAAGTAATGGGAAAATGCCTGTCCTACCTCTTGTTTGAGAACTTGGGAGACTAAACAAACCTCACTCCAGAGGATGGAAGGATCCATTCGAGTTAGGCTTCAATTAAGGGAGATTTGTACAAAGTCATCTGCACAAAGGTTGCGGCTATAGTGAGATTTGTCCATCATGTGTATATGGACAATGTTGTAGAGACAACATCTTCAATGAGTGAGATGGGGTGAAGAAGGGCCTAGCAATAAGACAATCACCTGGGAGACAGATAAGGAAGACAATTTTTTGTAGATGTGGATTATAGAGATGATAGAGTTCAAGTGATTTACCTTAAACATGCAACTTTGCTCCCAGTTTACAGTGCCTGGCAGTACCTGGTCTAATACCAGAGAAGAGGTTGCACTGCATGACAACAAGGATTCTGATCTGGGGAAGACCTTTTTTTAAAGATTTATTTATTTATGCATACAAGAAGTGGAGTACAAGCCAAAGGTGCAGGGGGTGGCGTGGGGTACACAATGGGGAACAGAACAGGCAGACGGACTTATATACACTGCTGAGGGGAGCAGTGGCAAGTCTGGAGAAGTCTGCTCACAATATGGGTTGCTCCCTGGCCAGCTGGGGATCAAACTTGAGCTGCAGTTGTTGTGCTTTGCTTCACATTGCTGTGCTTAACCCCTTGTGCCACCAGAGAGGCCCCTGGGACAGACCTTTTAACACACACACACAGAAAACTTATTCATCAAAATGCCATGGAATGGTGGTTTAGAACTAGCATTACTCGAATAATTATGGGGAGTGGAGAGAGTAGAGGGGGAAGGTAGCTAAGAAGGCAAGTGTGTCTCAAAAAAGAATAAATAATACAGTTCTTACTTCTTACTCCATTGGAACAATCAGTAGGTTCTGTGGGCTACTTATTCTTCCCAGATTAATAAGGCAAACTCAGTGGATGACTGACAACAGACTCCATATCTAAGATGTCCTCCTTATAGTGAGGCTGACAGCTAAGGGCACAGCAATTCACTTAAGGTAACAGAGGACTGTTGATTAGCGGAATGTAATCCTAGATATAAAACTGAAAATTTGCTTGGATTCTTATATTTTATAATACATAGTTATTTGTTAGCTGTTCCCAGAGTTGCAAATACAAGATAGTCCCTCACAATGTAGGCAAACTCCGTAAGCAGAAGTGCTGTACAAATGCTTCTCAAATTGCTTGTCTCAAAAGTTTTGAAAAGTGAGTACTACCATCCTTCTTTGGCAAACAAGGATGCAGAGTCTTAGAAGCTAACCTGTTAAACACACAGAGAAACACAAACACACAGAGAAACACAAACACACAGACACAATGCTCCAAAGCCAGTGTCCTACCAAGTGCATGAAACCATAGGAGTAAAGCTGTTTCAGAGAAGCAGTTATAGTTTGTGTCAGAGCAATGCTGCTTTGAGAAAGCTGAAGGTAGAGGAAAAATGCAAGTTAAATGTAGCTGCACTCTAAATTTTTTTGTTCTGCAAGTAAATGACCATTCATCCCATTCCCAACAACTTGATAGTACTCCAGTTACTGACCAGTGCTATCTATGACATAACTGGGGGTTGAGGGGGAGAGTAAGAAGTTAATGCGATATATTTAGTTTATATCCTGCAAGAAATCAGGCAAAGGAAAAAACAGGTTGGCGGTTCTTACAAAAGGGGGGACAAAAAGGGAACAGAATATCATCGAGTTACTGTTATAGAACTTGGGTTCGGTTTTGCTATGATTTGGCTCTGAAAAAGAAACCAGTATTTTGTCCCTGAATAATATTTCCTGTAAATTCTCTGTTTGTTTGCTTGTTTGTTTGTTATAATGGTTTAGTCATACTGGGATTTGATTTAAGAACTAGGGTGGCAGCAATAGAGGAAAATCTTTTGCTTTTTCAGTTTGCCCAAGTGAAAAGCAGTCTTTCTGTTGGACAGCTGCATTGGATTAGAAACCATAAGGAAATTCCCCTGGGTCATTAACAGTTAGGCAGAAGCAAAGATAACGCTGGAACAAAGCTATCAGAGTTCCTGAATTGGGGGAAAGAAAGGTTCCAGTGTGTGTTTGTCACAACGGAGGGGTGGGTATTGGAGGAGGTCAGAGGCGTGTGCTTGGGTCTGTTTGTCAGCTGCAACTGTTGGGTTGAAATAAGAAAGCAAAACCTCATAAAGTCTTGAGAAGACCTCTTTCCTTTACAGAAGCTGTTTCTTTTTGAAAAGAGCAGAAAGTTCCAGACTCCAGCCCACCCAGACCACCCCAGGACCCGCAAATAGGTAGAAGCTTCTGGGCCTGAGCATGGCAACTTGGATTGGGAAGTTCATGGAGAAGTTTAAGGAGGTGCAGGACCTGAAATTCAAGTACCGCAGTGCGCTCATCTATGGCCTGGTGACCCTGCTGACAGCCAGTGGGGAGAGTATCTTCTCTTCTAAAGTATTCCAGTGCCCCTGCAGCACCACCTGGAACCTGCCCTACGGTCTTGTTTTTCTGTTGGTGCCTGCCCTGGCACTCTTCCTCATGGGCTACTTGATGAGAGCAAACTTCTGGCGTGTGTTGACCGGTTGCTGCAAACTGGGTCTCCCAGTGAGCTCTGGCACATGCCTGCAAAAAACCATCTTTTGCTGTCATGTCAGCTTGGCCACAGCTCTTGCGCCTCTCACATGGGTGGCTGTGGCACTGCTCCAGGGCACATTTTTCGAGTGTGCCAGCAGTGGGAGTGTCTACATTGTGCAGCATCTGTGCTCCAAGCTCTATGCTAATGGCACCTATGACTACGGCAACTGCACTGACCAACTACCATTGGTACCCTGCAAGAAGGCCAAGGTGGCCAAAGTACAGGACCTCCTGCAAGAACTCAAGGCCTTCTCACAGGTCAGGCCCTGGTGCTGGAGGAAGTTTGGAGGGGCATCAGGGAAGGGTTTGGGGGGCAGAGGGAAGACCTGGTGAGGTTGAAATCAATACCTTTTCTATAGATGTTAAATGTCAGAGGACAAACTAGAACAGCTACTTACTTCTCATAAGTCAAAAGGCAAATATAAAAATAAAACCAATGAAAAGAATGAAAGATATTCTCAGTGTCAGGTACCTACTCTGTGCCAGATTGCTCACTAGGTCTTTTGCCTTCTACATCTTTCTCTTACATCTCAACCACTCTTTGAGAAAATATTGAGTCAAACCAGGTTGTCTGTCCAGCCAGAAGGCAGAATTGTTAAAGTACAATGAGTCTGCCTGGCTGGCTCTATGGCACCGTCTCATATTGTGAATAGGGTCATAAAGCTCACAGGTTTGTAAAAATGAATACTTGTTTCATAGATTTACCATAACTCAACATTTTGAATTTCAGGAGTGTGAAACAGAGACTCCCCCCTGAGTCTTTGACATGGCTTAGAATGATTGAGTCCTCAAACAAGCAGTTGTACAAAGGGGTGCCAGAGGTCCTGTCACACTTTCTCATAAGGGATTAAAAATGCAACCTGTTTCTTATTCATCATCCTAACTGGAAACTATATTGAACTTTATCTCAGACTTCTTAAGTTTTTCATAAAAATGTACCTAAATGATTATTTTGTTGTGTCTTCCTAAGGTGTCTGGCTGGGTCCTGACAGCTTTGGTTATCATCATCATTCTGATTAGTATATCTTTTGCCCGATGTTACTCTCCAGTTAGTTTTCAACAGCTGATTTTTTGGAAAATCTATTCAAAAGAAGAGCAGAAGTTCTTTAACAGTGAAGCCAGAGCATGTGCAACTAAATTGGCAAAAAAGAATGCTAAAAGTTTCTTTGAGTCCTCAAGTGAAAAGGAAAACACTTCAATGGGAAAAGAGGAACACAAATCAAGCAGTGCAGAGGTGTATATTCCAAGCACAGAAGACTGGCAGCAGATTTCATCACTATACACTTACAGTCCGAATTACTACAGCATGCTACACAAATATGTTAATAAAAAAGGGAAGAGTCCTAATAGCAGAGCTTCTCAAAGAAATCAAAGTTATCCTTTGGACTTTGTGGATGAACCCTTTCTGAGTGCTACTGATACTTTATAACCTTATAAATGAATGGGGGGGGGAAGTGCTTTTAAGGTCTTGCTTCACTTAAGAAAATAAAACTTGGTACTGATATTGTTCATAACTTCTTTTTTGGTCCTTTAAATTGTGGAAACATAGACTTTCAGATCTGAGGTTAAAAATTTAGAACTTCACCTTTTTACTATATTCATTATTCAAAAAAAAATCACAGTTAAATGATTAACTCAAAGTGACCAATTAAAACTATATTTTCAAAATTATTCACTAGAGAATAGGGAAAAAAAAGCATGCAGTTTTGCTACCAACTCTCTTCTATATATAATGACTCTCAACAATTTTCTGTGGTGCAGTTACTTGCAATCAACTTTAGTCCAAAAATATTACATAAGATATTTTGAGAAAGAAAAGACAAAAGAGACCACAATCATAAATCTAGCTCCAATTTGTCTATAGATCAGGTACTTTTTTTACTGAATAATAATGCTACCTTCAAATAAAAGACGTTAGTGGCAAGTAGAGTGAAAGCACAATTGAGAGTCAGATTTTTTTTTAAGATTATCTAGTATTAAATTAAGCTCACTTTCTTGTAGATGTCTTTTTTTTGGAAGTTTAAAATATGGCATTTTGTAGCTCTAATATGGTTAATAAACAAAATTATAAAAATTCATTATGGAAATTTTTGTAAATATAAAATTTAAAAAAACTAGTTTAGGATAATTGCAGACAATAACTGGTTTTGTTTGTGGATCTGAAGGAAAATTATGAAAACTTTTGTGATAAATTTTAAATATACCCAAAAGTAGAGAAGATAGTAGTATAAACCCCCATATAGTCATTACACAGCTTCAACAGAGAGGCGACATCAGGTACAGACAATACCATACAAATAAATATAGAAATGGAAGCTGTGACCCGATTCAGGTTAAGGGAAAAGGAAGTTGGAAAAGTCTGTGAGAAACTGTTATCTGTAAAGCAGAAGCCCATTTCAGTTTGCAGTAACAGTAGGAGCAAAGACTGAGGTGATAAAGATCATAACACAATTGGAAGCTTTAAAAGTAACTGGAAAAAAATGAATAAGGAACATATATTCATGCAAAGGATATTGGTTTTTATTCTACAAACATTTGCATAAGATTGATAATGGAATGAGAAAAAGTCAAGGCAGAAATGGAAAAAATAATCAGGAGGTCACTATAAGTGAAAGTAGGTGGGAATGAACTTGAACTGGGGTGATGGTGATGAAAATGAAAAAGGTAGATTTGAGGTAGATTCTGGAACTTCAGATTTGTTAATGGAAAGGTTGCAAAGATCTACTGAGAATAACTATACCTACAGATACTTTTCGGGGAATGTTAGGTTGTCATTCCTACCCATCCCCTCCTCTATTTATGACTGTTAAGTACATTTTTTATTTTTTTTATTATTTTTTAATAGAGGCATGTTTTATATATTTATTTGTTTGTTTGTTTGTTTATACATGCACTGGGTACAGTCAGAAGCACGGGAGGGTGAGAGAATTCACCAGAGCCAGAGTGGGGAGCAGAGCAGGCAGAAGGACTGAAGTACACTGCTGAGGGGAGCAGCGGGCGGCAGGAGAGGTCTGCGCACCATGTGGGACCCTCCGCTGGTGGCCGGGGAGCAGCCGGGGATCGAACTGGCGCCGCAGAGGCCGCGGGCAGCTTCGCAACCCAGCGCTCAACTGCTGCACCACCCGGGAGGCCCTTGAGTACATTTTTTAAAAGATTTATTTATTTATGCATACAAGAACTGGGGTACAGGCCAGAGGTGTGAGAGAGGAGAGGATTCACCAGAGACAGAGTGGGAAACAGAAAAAGTGGATCTACTGAAATACACTGCTGAGGGGAGCAGCAGGCAAGACAGGAGAGGTCTGCTACGCCATGTGGGTTAGCTTGCCGGCCGGCCTGGGATCCAACTGCAGAGGCTGCAGAGAGCTTCATTGTACTTAATCCCTTGTGCCACCAGGGAGGCCCTTTTGAGTACATTTTTTAAAATAATATATGAAAACTTTGAACTGTAAGAAAACTGAGCACTTATTATATTTTCTCCTTCTTCCTCTCTTGGCAAACCATTGTGCTGGTTTCTCTTTGCCTTGTGTTGCACAGAGCCATTAAAAAGAACTAGTCATATGATTCAGTACAGTGGATAGGTTCCAAGACCCCAGTGGATGCCTGAAACCATAGATAGTACCATATGCAAATATACTATATCTTTTCCTACATTTACCTAACTGTAATAAAATTTACTTTATGAATTAGGCACAGAAGGAGATTAACAACAATAATAGTAAAACAGAACAATTGTAACAGCATACTGTAACTAAAGTTATGTGAATGTGCTTTCTCTTCCTCAAAATGTTATTGTATGTAGGATTTTCACACAGAGATTGGTCAAAGGTAATTGAAACCACAGAAAGCAAAACCACAGATAAGGAATCATGTAAAACAAGAAAGTTGGTAGCAAAAACTGCATGAGCAAGCTTTTTTTTTCCTATTCCCTAATGAATAATTTTAAAAATTGCAAACCTACTTTCATTTTTACTTCCTTTATTTCACTTTTCAGTTTATTTTTGTATATGATTGCATTTCAATCTTTTCTTCTCTGGTCTGTCATTTATGCTTACCTCTTAGGTAATATCACATTGTATCCATTTTGTTGACTTATGCTCAATATTCTCCTTCATAGTACTTAATAATTAATGTGAAAGTATATATGCTTAAGATAAAAATGATAATGGTAGAGACCTATGAAATAAAATCAAAAATTACTTCATTCCTTTGTAATGCATTTTCCCATAGTCATATGTATCTATACAATTATTCTAGTACTGTAGATGTGATCATGCAACATTTACAAATAAAATATCATTATATATATGTGTATAAACAACTTGTGTATAAATAATTCATCTCATTAAATGTGTAATATTCTAAATATGATCCATTTTTTGTTTAAAATATTCACATGTATACGACATATATATACATGTATACTACATATATATATACACACATATAAACACACACATTCATGAAGTATATAAAAATCAGCATCAAATTATCAAATTGGTCACTTCTAGAAACTAATATTGGGGCAGGGAATTTATTTGAAACTTTATGTACTTTGGATCATTGGATTATTTTCACAATGAACAATAAATATTAACTGTGTAATTAGAAAAGATTAAAAACAACCATGTTGTGGCAGTAGAGGATTATAATCAATATAGCTATTTTGTATCTTCATTTCATTTCATTTTCACAAGTTTATGATATACCCTAGAAACACAGGAGTTACACTTCAAGTGAGGGATTGAAGGTTAGAGAGGTTAGATTACTAGTCCAAGGTCATGGGGCCAGCCAAGATAGAACTGATTTTGAGTTTTGTTGCTTTTATGTTTAAAGTGATTACTTGGGCCTCCCTGGTAGCGTAAAGGGTTAAGTCTCAGCACTATGCAGCTATCAACAGCCATTGTGGCATGGAGCTAGATCCCGGAGCTGGCCCACATGGCAAAGAAGACCTCTCCTGTCTTACCCACTGATCCCCTCAGCAGTGTATGTCAGTCAAAACATCTGTTCTGCTTCCCACTCTGTCTCTGGTGAATCCTCTCACCCTCCATACCTCTGGCCTACACCCCAGCTCTTGTACACATAAGTAAATCTTTTTTTTAATTATTTATAGACAAGTTTATTTGAAGTGTTCCAGAAGAAGTTTACATTAAAAATTGTCAGAAACTTGCCACTTCTCTCTCTGCAGGATTCTGATTATATTCCACTTAGGATTCATACTGTCATGAAGTCCCCCAATAAGTTCTGAGCATAAAATAAATCTTTTTGAAAAAAATTAAGTGATGGGCCTCCCTTGTGGCGCAACAGTTGAGCGCTGGGCTGCAAAGCTTCCCGCAGCCTCTGCAGCACTGGTTCAATCCCCGGCCACCGGCAAGGGTCCCACATGGCTAAACAGACCTCTCCTGCCACACCTGCTGCTCCCCTCAGCAGTGTATTTCGTCAGTCTGCCTGTGCTGTTTCCCACTCTGGCTCTGGTGAATTCTCTCACTCTCCCGCGCTTCTGACTGTACCCAGTGCTTGTATAAATAAATAAATGAATCTTTAAAAAATAAAACATAAAAAAATAAAGTGATTACTTGACTGTTTTAATTACTGGGCTAGATTTTTTTTCCTTTTTAGCCATGTGACCTTATGAACAGAAAAGATACAAATATTCTTAGTGACCCCCCCCAATATTTTTCATCTCATTCACAAACATGATAACTATTTATAACTCTCTTTTGAATAAACATAGCGAGAACAGTTATTTCATGGTGGCTATATTGTTGCCAATCTTTGCTAGGACATACCAGTCCTCTACCTCTACTCCAGCCCCAAAGAGATGGTATAACTAGATCAGGAAGTATTTCTGCACTCACTGGGTATACATTTATTTTTGGACTTACAAATAATTATTTGTAATCTCTCTGTCTTTATGCTATCCTGGATCAAAAATAGAATTAGTTACACATGCAAATTTCGCTAGTAAAATCATCTTGGAATCCCTAAATTCCACAACATTTTGCCTGTTATGTACTGGGCTACTGGGTTGTCTATTGTCCTAAGACAATAAATACACAGTGATTCCTGTTTGAGTCAGCCTCAGCAGCAGCCACTGTCTATTTTATCAGTAGAAAACTCCCACTGAGTATCAGTCATAAGTCAAATACTGCCCCTCTTCTGAAAATTAAACCATTAGTTGATCTCATTTTGTCTCTTCTCTTCATTACTTACTTATGAAACATGTCTTGCAAAATGCAGTGAAGGATGCCTGGAATAGATATTAACTTAAATGGAAAAAAATCTACATTAAAAAAAAAGAGGGAATCTATTCTTTTTTTTTTCTATTTAGTAGACTTTATTTTTTTATATATATATTTTTTTATTTTTATATTCCCCATACAATTGCGACCCCCTTATTTTGACCCCAATCCCTCCCCTCCCCGACCCCAC